TAGAATCTTAGTAAAAATTAAAAATTTAATTACAAATTTAAAATTAACACTGTAATTTTTACATATTAGATTAGATTAGGTGATAAAATAGTACCCAAATCCTTAACACTAAGATAGGTTAAATGCAAGTAAGATAAAGATAAAAATATTTGAATGTGTAAAGAGATATGAGGATTTTCAGTTAAAGATAACAAATTTGACATGCCCACTTAGTTCTTCTCATTCCAAGATCCCACTAAAAAATGGAATAGGCATTTTTAAAAAGTGACAAACTCAATAAAGAGAATGAAAGATAAGACAATAGCGCTAAGTTGTAAAGCAGATAAATGAGAGGCTTCTCAAATACAAATTATAGGAGGCCATTGGTTTAGATTAAGCTTCTGTACTAGGCCCCAAAAGATTACACTAAAAAAATAAGAGTCACCTATGCTAAAGTTTCACATCACCAAACCCAAACTAAATTGTGTTTGACTTTCCCGGAAATCAGAAGAAAGAGATAACAGCCAATTTCCCAAACACGCCAGTTTAAAATCTTTTATATTCATGATAATAAAGTTTCCTCTGCTTTAATTCTTACACAAAAAAGGCAGGCTGAAGTAACCTGATATTAATCAATTGGTTATTTTTCTATTTTTCTGTCTCCCTGTCCCTGCCTTACAAGAAATTATCTTTGAAACAACTAATATGCTGTTTGTCTTTGCTTCAGCCCTTCTCTGTCTATGAAACCAACCTCTTCTGTTCAGCTCATTGGAACAATTTTTCTATTTTATGGAATAAAGTGTAGCCCCATTATAGAATTGCAAATAAAACCAATTTAGATCTTTAAACTAAATTTGTTGTAATTTTGTCTTTTGATAGGGGTTTCCTTTCTCAAGCCAGCAGTCAAAATATTTGTTGAGTTAATCAATATCCAAAGGTTGCTGTATAGTAATAAAGTATTATATGTTAAAGTTTACAAAAGCCCTTTACACTGAAGCATCAAGTCGAATGTTAAAAATTAAATTTGCAAATTTATGGAACCTTGGCCTCAATCTGAAAGGTTCTCTTTGACATAAGCTACAATAGACTAGAGTAGCAGTAGCCACAGAAAGGCAGCTCTTGGCAGTAAATTAACATTTATTATAACCAGAGCCACTATACATATAGAGAGCTCTATTACCTAGAGCTTCATTTTGTAAGAAATAAGTTCACAATATAGATACCAACATATTATTATCTATTACAGTGAGTCAAAAACATTAACTTACACCATATGATGTGACAGCCCCTCTGACCTACTTCACAAGAAAATAAAAAGTCATTCATTAACTCAAATATTTAAAATATATTTACTATTTAAAATCATCACAGAATAAAGTATTCCAAAGAATAGTGTTTCTTATTCCATCCTAACCTTTTAAAAACTTTTAAAAGTTAGAAATCTTTCTGGAAAACATACATGGTCCTGTCCTCTTAAAGAGTATGTATAAGAAAATGCAAGGACTAAGTCAGAAGATCTGGGATTTATTTTATCTATCACCATGTCATATTACTTTCTCATTATGAACCTAGTTTCTCCATCCATCCATCATCTAAAAAGAGGGTTGGACTAAATGATTTTTATTTTGGGAACTCAGGGGCCTTCTGTGCATACTATATGGTTTTCAGCTGTGTTATGGAAAGGTATGGTTGCTATATGAATGGCATGAAAGAGTCGTTACATTATTATTCAAACCAGGACTACTGCATTGACCTCCTTTCAGCTTACTCTGCCACCAGTCTTTCTCTAATCTAAGCCATTTCCTACAATTCCTCTAATATTATCTTCCTAAAATATAAATCAGACCATAACATTCTGCTTAAAAAATTGTATTACTTTTGGTAATTAAAGGGTAACTTCTGATATCTAAAGGCCCAAAATCCATAACCACACACTCAAAGTCTTTATAATCTGACCACAGGTTACCTCTCCAGTCAGTTTCACCTCTTGCCACTGTTCTTCCTACACATAGGCTAAATTATCCCCCATTCTCTTAATGAACATCTATGCTCTTTCACACTCTATGCCTTTGCACATGCTGTTTCCTGTAATACCCTAAAACTCTGTGATCTATTTTTCCTTCAAAACCTAGCTCAGGCCGGGCACGGTGGCTCACACCTGTAATCCTAGCACTCTGGGAGGCCGAGGCGGGTGGATCGCTCAAGGTCAGGAGTTCGAAACGAGCCTGAGCAAGAGCGAGACCCCGTCTCTACTAAAAAATAGAAAGAAATGATCTGGACAACTAAAAATATATATATAGAAAAAATTAGCCAGGCATAGTGGCGCATGCCTGTAGTCCCAGCTACTCGGGAGGCTGAGGCAGGAGGATCGCTTGAGCCCAGGAGTTTGAGGTTGCTGTGAACCAGGCTGATGCCATGGCACTCACTCTAGCCAGGGTAACAAAGAGAGACTCTGTCTCAAAAAAAAACCTAGCTCAAATGTCACCTTATCTAAGAAGTCTTCCCTTATACCCTGAAGCCAACTGAATCAATCTCTTTTCTGTGCTTTGTACTTTGTTATGGCTCTGTTATAGTGCTATATCATAAAATGGCCTATCAACATATTTTATTTCATATTTATTTTCTTGTTAACCAATATACATTATGATTTTCATCATTATCTCCACAGCACTTACTTAGTAACTTAAATGTTTGTTAACTGAATGAATTGGTGTATATAAAACTTTAAACTTTTTTTTTTTTTTTTGAGACAGAGTCTCACTGTGTTGCCCGGGCTAGAGTGCCGTGGCATCATCTTAGCTCACAGCAACCTCAAACTCCTGGGCTCAAGCGATCCTCCTGCCTCAGCCTCCCAAGTAGCTGGGACTACAGGCATGTGCCACCATGCCCGGCTAGTTTTTTCTATATATTTTTAGTTGTCCAATTAATTTCTTTCTATTTTTAGTAGAGACGGGGTCTCGCTCTTGCTCAGGCTGGTTTCGAACTCCTGAGCTCAAACAATCCGCCCGCCTCAGCCTCCCAGAGAGCTAGGATTACAGGTGTGAGCCACCGCGCCCGGCCAAAACTTTAAACTTTGACTTTTATTTATGAACTTAGAACACTCAGTTTTAGGTATGGCTGTCAGAAACATACTTCCCACCAACCCCACAATGAAGATTCCTCTTTGAATTCTGGTGTAACAACATGGAAGGAATAAGGTTAACTTTCCTAGCTGGAAAGCAGAGCCTTCAAAAACTTTAAATCTGCTCAGTGAAGGGCTAATATTGAAGCAGAATACTATAGTAAATAAAGCATGATCTCTGAAGCCAGAAATTTGGGTTCAAATTGAGGTCACTTAGCTGAGTGTCCTTGGATAAATCTCTTAATCTTGTGACAATTTCCCTATCCACAAAAAAAAGATGATAACAAGAAATATGTCACAGAATAAAAACAAAGATTCTAGACTCAGTAAATCCCTTAACCTCTCTGGTGACAGTTTCCCTACCTGTTAAAGAGGATTTAAAGAGGATGATAAACTCAGACAGTTGTAAGGGCTTAAATAAGGGTGGCACGGGAAAGCATTGTTTGAACAGAAGGGACAGTCAAATGCAAATCGTTTCATAAGCATTAGTAACTATAGTAAATGTGAAAATGACACCCAGGAGGAAGGTATGGAGAGGGATGCTAAGAGTGATAGAAGTTAGGCTCCCATTCGAGATCAAGCTGGTTGCCAAAGTTCCAATCCCAACTTGTCCTGAAAGAAATACGTAGTTTCAATTCCCAGGGCAACAGTGATAGAGGTTCAGGTAGAAGAAAAATTTTTTGGAGGAGTAGAGGGTATGTATTTGTTCATAAAATGTTTACTGACCGGGCGCAGTGGCTCACGCCTGTAATCCTAGCACTCTGGGAGGCTGAGGTGGGCGGATTGTTTGATCTCGGGAGTTAGAGACCAGCCTGAGCAAGAGCAAGACCCCATCTCCACTAAAAAAATAGAAAGAAATTAGCTGGACAAGTAAAAATATATATACAAAAAATTAGACAGGTATGGTGGCGCATGTCTGTAGTCCCAGCTACTTGGGAAGCTGAGGCAGGAGGATGGCTTGAGCCCACGAGTTTGAGGTTGCTGTGAGCTAGGCTGACACCACGGCACTCTAGCCCCGACAACAGAGCCAGACTGTCTCAAAAAAAAAAAAAAAATTGTTTACTGAACATCCACTGTATGCTCAGCACTAGCAGTGACAGTTCCAGTCTACTGTCTTAAGTAAATGCCTATACTATCTTGAGTGTGTGTTTTCATAAAGGTGAAAATACAGGAAAAGTCAATATTTCTTACCTAACCTGAATTGTAGAGCTAACTGATAGCTCTATATCACAGAAGAATGTTAATTATTCAACTCCAATTACATGGAATTTATAACATGCAGAGATTTAATCTGTAAGAATACATACATTTAACTAGAATGCAAGTTTCACAAGCTTTTTTTTTAATGAAACATACTCACCCAAGGCAGGGTATCCAAGGTAAAATCGATCTGCTCCCAACCATCCAAGAAAAAGAGACAATGCAACTGCCACTTTGTATGAATAGCCATTTCTGCACAAAATTAAAACCTGAGCATCATATGCATATAATTCCAACATGTGAACATTTTAGAAAATAAAATTATTAATTAGTATTTATTTGTTAATTAATTGATTCATTCATTCATTCAATTAATCCTTTGGGGGTACCTCCTATGTACCAGGCACTATTCTGGGCTATTGGGATATATTAATGAATAAAAGTCACAAAGATCCCTGTCCCTGTGGAGCTTGCAATCTAGTAGCAGCATGCAATAACATAAACATATTTAAAAAGCATATCGGCTCCAGGTGGAGACCAGGGGGAGGGCCTAGGCCAGAACCCCATGATGCCAGGAGGTAAGAGGTGAAGGGCTGAGCAATTTGGGAACTCAACTCTGAGGAGAGAGGGCAGTGGATTTCAGTTAAGTTCCTTATGTCCTGAAATTGCTTCCCTCTCATGGGGATAAATGAAAACACAAGCCTCTACTACAACCTATAAGGACTGCAAATTATGGCCAGGGGGCAGTCAGGCTTGGGATTGGAGAGAAACAAGAACTGAGCATTCTCCTTGTGTGCAGCCTGCAGATGTGAAGGAAGCTGTCGAGAAGGGTATATACTCTTGTGACTGCCCAAAGATTGAGTGAGGCCTTGAAGGTGCCTCCATCAACCGTGGAGTACCTCAAGAAACAAGACATTGATGTGCGGGTCCTCCAGGCAGAGGAGGCAGTGAAGGAGTATAATGCCTTGGCTGCCCAAGGGGTCAGTGTGGGAGATGTCTTCCATTCTACCTGCTGATGGAGTCTTAGGAGAATAAATCACTAAGTAACTTAAAACAAAACAAAACAAAACAAAAACATAAATCATAGCCAGGCATTGTGGTGCACGCCTGTCGTCCCAGCTATTCAGGAGACTGAGATGGGAGGATCAGTCGAGCCCAGGAGTTCAAGGCTACAGCCACTACACTCCAGCCTGGGCAACAGAGTGAGACCCTGTCTCTTTAAAAAAAAAAGAAAAGAAAAGTAAATCATATACTATGTTAGAAAGCCATAAATATTATGGAAAAAAAAAAAAAAAAAAAGAAGTGGAGCAGGGTATGTAGGGAATCCAGAATATTAGAGGCTGTTTAAATGGGGTGATAAGAGTAGGCCTCATCGAGAAGGCCTTATTTGAACAAACACCTGAGGGAAGTGAGTTAGCCATGCTCACTCTGAAGGAAGACTGTCCCAGGCAAAAAAAACAGCTGGTATAAAGGCAGCATTCCTGGAATGTTTGAGATCTATTAAAGAGGCTAGTGTAGCAGGAGTGAGAGAAAGGAAAGAATATTAGGAGATGAGGTCAGAGAGGTAATGGAGGATAGAGAAAGCAGATAATGCAGTGCTTTGTACACCACTGTAAATACTATTTTACTAAGAGAAATGGGAATCTACTGTAGGATTTTAAGTAAAGGTGTGACATGATTTGATTAGATTTTACAATAATCACTCTGGCTGCTGTGCTGAAAACAGACCACAGGGAAGTATTTGTCAGCTATTGCCACATTGATGTTACAGAATAAACCACCCTAAAACTCAGTGACTTATAACAATAAATTACTATTCTCATACTTATAGACTGCAGATTGGTTGTTGTTCAACTGACTCAGGCTGGTTCCGCTGGGAGATTCTACTTCAGGCTGAGGTTTGGCTGAGCTTGCACCCAGGCTGGGGATTCAGTTCAAGTCAGTTCCACTTAAGTGTTTCTAAGGCCCCAAGCTGAAGGTGTAGCAGCTACTTGGGGCAAGTTCTTTTCAGAACATTATCATGAAAGTACAAAAGGAAAGCTAAATGCCACAAGCACATTAAAGACTCTGCTCGTTTCACATCTGCTATCATTATGTAGGCCACATTAAGTCACACAAGCAGCCTAAAATCAATGAAGTGAGAGTATATACTGCCCAATTGGTGGAGACTGAGAGAGATAAATGTTTGTTGAACAAATTCAAACTATGACAGGGACAAAAGAGTTTGAAGGCCTGGCATGGTGACTCACACATGTAATCCTACCACTCTGGGAGGCCGAGGTGGGATGATTGCTTGAGGTCAAGAGTTTGAGACCAGCCTGAACAAAAGTGAGACCCTCTCTCTATCAAAAGTAGAAAAAATTAGGCTGGGCGCGGTGGCTCACGCCTGTAATCCTAGCACTCTGGGAGGCCGAGGCGGGCGGATTGTTTGAGCTCAGGAGTTCAAAACCAGCCTG